CCCTTGTAGCTCAGTTGGTAGAGCATGGTGCTTGCAACGCCAGGGTTGTGGGTTCGTTTCCCACGGGGGGCCAGTATGAAAAATGTATGCACTCACTAACTGTAAGTCGCTCTGGATAAGAGCGTCTGCTAAATGACTAAAATGTAAATGTTAGAGACCGCGGTCATTTGGCTGGCCAATTACAGTAATTCAAAAGTCCATGACCGTCACAGCCCTAATATACAGGTAACTGACAAAATAAAGTAAACACCAACATAAAGTGTCTTAATAGGGCATTAGGCCACCACGAGCCGCCAGAACAGCTTCAATGTGCCTTGGCATAGATTCTACAAGTGTCTGGAACTCTATTGGAAGGATATAACACCATTCTTCCACAAGATATTCAATAATATGGTGTTTTGTTGATGGTGTTGGAAAACGTTGTCTCATGTGCCACTCCATAATCTCCCATAAGTATTCCTTTGGGTTGAGATCTGGTGACTGACACACACACACACACTTTAAACCCCCTATGCTTCGTTGAGACCCCTCTTTCAAAGTCACTGAGATCTTTTCTTCTAGCCATGGTAGCCAAAATAAATGGGCATTTTAATACAAGATCAGAATTTCCTCACCGATTTGTTTTACCACTACGTCTCTGTTTGTATCCCCCATTTGCTCAAGTGTTTCCTTTATTTTGGCAGTTACCTGTACAGTCGTGGTCAAAAGTTGAGAATGACACAAGTATTGGTCTTCAAAGTTTGCTGCTTCAGTGTTTTTAGATATTTTTGTCAGATGTTACTATGGTATACTGAAGTATAATTACAAGCATTCCATAAGTGTCAAAGGCTTTTATTGACAATTACATTAAGTTTATGCAAAAAGTCAATATTTGCAGTGTTGACCCTTCTTTTTCAAGACATCTGCAATCCGCCCTGGCATGCTGACAGTTAACTTCTGGGCCACATCCTGACTGATGGCAGCCCATTCTTGCATAATCAATGCTTGGAGTTTGTCAGAATTTGTGGGGTTTTGTTTGTCCACCCGCCTCTTGAGGATCGACCACAAGTTCTCAATGGGATTAAGGTCTGGGGAGTTTCCTGGCCATGGACCCAAAATGTTGATGTTTTGTTCCCCAAACTACTTAGTTATCACTTTTGCCTTATGGCAAGGTGCTCCATCACGCTGGAAAAGGCATTGTTCATCACCAAACTGTTCTTGGATGGTTGGGAGAAGTTGCTCTCAGAGGATGTGTTGGTACCATTCTTTATTCATGGCTGTGTTCTTAGGCAAAATTGTGAGTGAGCCCACTATCTTGGCTGAGAAGCAACCCCACACATGAATGGTCTCAGGATGCTTTACTGTTGGCATGACACAAGACTGAAGGTAGCGCTCACCTTGTCTTCTCCGGACAAGCTTTTTTCCGGATGCCCCAAACAATCGGAAAAGGGATTCATCAGAGAAAATGACTTTACCCCAGTCCTCAGCAATCCAATCCCTGTACCTTTTGCAGAATATCCGTCTGTCCCTGATTTTCTTTCCTGGAGAGAAGTGGTGTCCTCGCTGCCCTTCTTGACACCAGGCCATCCTCCAAAAGTCTTCTCTTCACTGTGTGCGCAGATGCACTCACACCTGCCTGCTGCCATTCCTGAGCAAGCTCTGCACTGGTGGTGCCCCTATCCCGCAGCTGAATCAACTTTAGGAGACGGTCCTGGCGCTTGCTGGACTTTCTTGGGCGCCCTGAAGCCTTCTTCACAACAATTGAACCTCTCTCCTTGAAGTTCTTGATGATCCGATAAATGGTTGATTTAGGTGCAATCTTACTAGCAGCAATATCCTTGCCTGTGAAGCCCTTTTTGTGCAAAGCAATGATGACGGCACGTGTTTCCTTGCAGGTAACCATGGTTAACAGAGGAAGAAAAATGATTTCAAGCACCACCCTCCTTTTAAAGCTTCCAGTCTGTTATTCTAACTCAATCAGCATGACAGAGTGATCTCCAGCCTTGTCCTCGTCAACACTCTCACCCGTATTAACGAGAGAATCACTGACATTCTGGAGTATATGCAAATTGCCATCATTAAAATTGAGGCAGCAGACTTTGTGAAAATTAATATTTGTGTCATTCTCAAACCTTTTGACCACGACTGTACATTATACAACAGGAAGGAATACAGAGGATGTTTAAAATGGCCTCCACGCATCTTGTCCCACATCACCATCATATCATAAATCATCATGTTGGTTAAGGATGGATGAGAAATCCACTAATTGCAATATAGGGCCTCCTCTGTATCCACGTGACAAGACGTAATTAACGATTCGGAAACAGAGCAGCCGCAGACAGACAGTATTTCCTCTGGGTTGTCTCTAAACAACAACATCACTGTTGTTTCACTGTGCAGAGGGGGCAAACTAATAGCTCTATAATGAGTCTGTTTATTAAAAAAGGTCTACAAACAAATACATTACGGTCACAGCAGCTGCCATCCCATGTCTGTTTTTATTATGGCGTTGCGTACCGTAGCGTCCTATCTGTCAGCATCCATACATCTTGTTGTGAGTTGACAGGACGCCCCATGGGGCCAGGCAGACAGAGAGGGATGGAGTGATTTCAGAACCGCATGATTGGCCAGGCCAGAGCATACATCAAAGAAACACATATTACTTGTTGCTCTCTCTCGGCTGACATCTCATGGTATGTGTGTGTGTGTACATTTCTGGTGGCAGCAAGGTCTCCGTTCGTTAAGTCTCTTGCCACCGGGGTGACAGCAGCAGGAGCCATACAACACGTACATAACTCCTGGTATTAATGAGGTCATTTGCATTCCTGAATGGCTCTGCTGTTAACACACAACAGAACACAACCTGCTGAGATCTCTACCTGCTATTATACACACAATGTAGAGAGAGGGGAGAGAAACGTATATGTGGGGAGAAAGAACAATACCTGGAAACAAGAGGTGGAGGGAGATTAAACGAGAGATCTGGTCACACACTGTGCCGTTCCTGCCCTAGGCCATGTTAGCAGGATATATGGATCAGGACCCCTTGTTCCACAGGGAAAACCCTGCTTCCCCAGCAGGAAGTGGGAAAAGTTGTTCCTTAACCCCCTACTTCCAAAATGAGACCTAAAACCCTGTTGCCATGCCGATGGCATGTCTATAAAGCCCCTTTCATGACAGCTGTCTTAGTTTCAGAGGGACCCACTTTGATTTTTGCTCTCTAGTCTACACCGCAAGGCCATCAAATTAAATCACTCCTGTCTGCTGCAGAGAGTAAGAGAAAACAGAAAGAGATGGGAAAAAGTTCCCTACATTAAACATTGTCTGGGTTCCCTTTGCCAAAGAATCTCAGAGCTTTTGACTTGCCCTCACAAGCCAGACTGGTAAAGAAAAAAAATGAACAGGTGTTCTCAGAATTCTAATGACAGTTTCTTCAGCTCATTGTTTCTTTTGTGGAGAGAGAGAGAGAGAGAGAGAGAGAGAGAGAGAGAGAGAGAGAGAGAGAGAGAGAGAGAGAGAGAGAGAGAGAGAGAGAGAGAGAGAGAGAGAGAGAGAGAGAGAGAGAGAGAGAGAGAGAACAGGTGGCTGTAGCTGATGCCTTTTATTCAGTCTGATGGACCCTGGAGATAAGATACTATCATCCCAGATTCATCATCAGCCAGTCCAACAAGAGACGGGAACAGAGAGAACACATGGTAACAGACACTTATGCCCAATGTCAAATCGACCCCTTTATACAAAAATGGTTGTAGTGTGAAAGGTATTAGTAGTATCATAACGTTTTTTTCCAAGCACACTGACCAGTGGTAGTCTTCACGTTTAAAAGTTGTTTTGGAGTTGGTAGTTTTACGGTTTTGGTGCTAGAGGTTCCAGCAGAATAATAATAACTATGAACAGTTTCTAAAGTTGTGCTTTGCTTTCAGCAAGCACACCTAATAAAATAAAAACAATGCCGGAGGTGGGTATTGACTGGTAAGGCCAAACCTCACCAAAAATATGAATCAACCCATCCCATGGTCTTTAGTTTTGCTCAGAGCTCCATCAAGCCCAGATCGCCTCTCCTGATCAGTCTGCCCAAACCCTTGACTCACTTGAACTCAGCAGTGAGGAGGTTGAAGCCATTGTAGAGATGTCCCTCAGATGACACCCTCTTCAGATAGGAGTAGCTGTCCTGGCTCTGATCTGTCAGGAAATTGGACACCAGGAACCCTACAACACATATAACCAACGTTATTCTTACTTTCACGCTAAATGCACACTTTCAGAGAGGTTACAGACCAGTTAGGCAGGCCCAGGACCCCTAGACATAGCAAGAGTAGATTTATCCGTTGGCTGGCTAGTTGGTTTTGTAACAACACACACATTTAGTTATACTATCCAATATGATCTACACAACACTGCTTATTGGTCCAGGTCTATTTTGAAAACAAGACTAACCTGGTTAAATAAAGGTTAAATAAAAATACATTTAGCAAAATGTGACGCAGTTACGTGGAGGATATTTGAGGTAAAATATGTAGCATAGGTCTTGGACTGAGTGACATCCGAGATAGTGCTACATAATGTAGCACCGAGTTAGCGGTTAGGAGGACAGGCTGCTACCCGAGAGGAGGGGACCTGCACTACAGCACTTAAGTGTCAGGAAAACGCCTGAAATGTGGCCTTGAAGAAAATAAACAAATTAGAAAACTGCTATTACACAAAAAGGTGTTTCCCTCGTGGGGCTGAGCATCTGCAGTGGACAGCTGTGATCCTGAACGACAGTGAAGAGCTACTGTAGCGTGCACAGATGAGGGGAGGGAGGCTGACTGACACTACTATTCACTTATTGTGGTGCTATTGCTAGTGAATGAATCCTTCAAAAAGCGGTTCATGTCCATCCATTCGACCATTCCAGTTCCATGTTAGCTGCGGCTTTCCAGGAACAAAGCTTTGAGGAATGAAATATTAACACTATATTAATATTAACACACTGCCTCTTAAAAATGTACATATCGGGCTGCTCAGTGGATATATTCTCATCCAAGTTGGTCCTCACCTCTTCCTTGTGCGTCTGAATTGGGCCTTCCCTCCAGGTAATTGGTTAGTGCGGCCAGCTTGCCCCTCTTGTTGATCCCCAGCCATGACCCTCCTTCCTTCCCCTCCTCCAGGTCCAGCCCTGACAACACACAACAACCCCATCACACTCCATGTCCGTCACAAAACACCCACATGAATCTTCTTCCCATTTGAACACCTGTGTCTGAAATTAGAACAACAGGTGTAGGTCTAACTGACCAGTAGGATTTAATGCTATACTGAACAAAAATATAAACACAACATGCAATCATTTTTACGATTTTACTGAGTTACAGTTCACATAAGGAAATCAGTCAATTTAAATCAATTAATTGAGCTGTCCGGGTGACTGGTCTTCAGGTGAAGAAGACGGATGTGGATGTCCTGGGCTGGCGTGGTTACACGTGGTCTGCGGTTGTGAGGCCGGTTGGACATACTGCCAAATTCTCTAAAAAGATGTTGGAGGTGGCTTATGGTAGAGAAATTAACATTCAATTCTCTGGCAACAGCTCTGATGCACATTCCTGCAGTCAGCATGCCAGTTGCACGCTCCCTCAAAACATGAGACACCTGTGGCATTGTGTTGTGTGACAAAACTGCACATTTTAGAGTGGCCTTCTATTGTCCCCAGCACAAGGTGCACATGTGTAATGATAATGCTGTTTAAATCAGCTTCTTGATATGCCACAGCTGTCAGGTAGATGGATTATCTTGGCAAAGGAGAAATGCTCACTAAAAGGGATGTAACCAAATGAGTGCAAAAAGTTTTAGAGAAATAAGCTTTTTGTACCTACAGAAAATTCCTGGGATCTTTTATTTCATCTCATGAAACATGGGACCAACACTGTACATGTTGTGTTTATATTTTTGTTCAGTATATATACATTCACTGTGAATCAACAATGGCAATCATGTACTGCTGACAATAATGCTGCCAGTCCACACTCAAAACAAGAGTTTGCTTACAATAATTTATTAATTCTAGAAGAAGCACATCAAGTACAAATGTTCCACCCTCCTCCAAGTCATTACTGACTGCTTAGTTTTACTCCTCTGTGAGTTACAGAAACAAATCCAGACAAGGAGTGCCTCAAAACCAAAACATTCAAGCAAGAGATGATTTTGTACTTTATGCAATTTAAAATCGAGTTAAGGCGGAGCAGTGAATTTCTGAGAAACAGACAGGCCTCTCTGCCTTGCATTCATCATCATGGGAGCCTCATTACAATGTAGAGCACGGAACTCTGAAAACGCTGAATAGATGAATTCTACTCATACATTCTGTTTGTCTGGACGAGGAGTGAGGCGATACCCATACACGTCTCACAGGGAATAGGACAATCAGTAGAGCGTTAAGATGAATATGGATCGTTTTAATACAACCGGTGTGACTTGCTAGTCTCTTACCGTTTTACACTTGGAGAAAATGAACCCACTGCATTATGAATACCAAGTTGTTGATACTTATACTGTACAAAAACTTAAACTTTGAGAGAGGCAAAAAGCTATGCAACACAGGCTGTTCATCTTGACCTAAAGTGTCACTTAAACTACAAAATCAAGACTCTCACACTGAGATAGGCTAGGAGCGTTTCTATGAGAGAGGGGGCAGCTAAGGGAAGCATGTGCAGAGGCAAGATGGTAAGTCTACACTTCCACACTTTGCCTTCGGAAAGTATTTAGACCCCTTGACTTTTTCAACATTTTGTTACGCTACAGCCTTATTCTAAAATTGATTAAATAAATACAAATCCTCAGCAATCTACACACAATACCCAATAATGACAAAGCGAAAACAGTTTTTTTGAAATGTAAGCAAATTTATTACAAGTAAAAAACAGAAATACCTTATTTACATAAGTATTCAGACACTTTGCTATGAGACTCAAAATTGAGCTCAGGTGCATCCTGTTTCCATTGATCATCCTTGAGATGTTTCTACAACTTGATTGGAGTCCATCTGTGGTAAATTCAATTGATTGGACATGATTTGGAAAGGCACACAACAGTCTATATGAAGGTCCCACAGTTGACAGTGCATGTCACAGCAAAAACCAAGCCATGAGGTCGAAGGAATTGTGGCCTCCATCATTCTTAAAAGGAAGTTTGGAACCACCAAGACTCTTCCTAGAGCTGGCCGCCCGGCCAAACTGAGCAATCGGGGGAGAAGGGCCTTGGTCAGGGAGGTGACCAAGAACCCAATGGTCGCTCCACAGTTCCTCTGTTGAGATGGCAGAACCTTCCAGAAGGACAACCATCTCTGCAGCACTCCACCAATCAGGCCTTTATGGTAGAGTGGCCAGATGGAAGCCAAAAGGAGTTTGCCAAAAGACACCTAAAGGACTCAGACGATGAGAAACAAGATTCTCTGGTCTGATGAAACCAAGATTGAACTCTTTGGCCTGAATGCCAAGCGTCATGTCTGGAGGAAACCTGGCACCATCCCTACGGTGAAGCATGGTGGTGGCAGCATCATGCTGTGCGGATGTTTTTCAGCGGCAGGGACTGGGAGACTAGTCAGGATCGAGGCAAAGATTAACGGAGCTAAGTACAGAGAGATCCTTGATGAAAACCTGCTCAGGACCACAGACTGGGTCGAAGGTTCACCTTCTAACAGGACAACGACCCTAAGCACACAGCCAAGACAATGCAGGAGTGGCTTCGGGACAAGTCTCTGAATGTCCTTGAGTGGCAAAGCCAGAGCCCGGACTTGAACCCGATCTAACATCTCTGGAGAGACCTGAAAATAGCTGTGCAGCAAGCTCCCCATCCAACCTGACAGAGTTTGAGAGGATCTGCAGAGAAGAATGGGAGAAACTACCCAAATACAGATGTGCCAAGCTTGTAGCGTCATACCCAAGAAGACTTGAGGCTGTAGTCGCTGCCAAAGGTGCTTCAACAAAGTACTGAGTAAAGGGTCTGAATACTTATGTAAATATAGTTTTTTTTTGTTATATATAAATTAGCAAAAAAACCCATTATGGGGTATTGTGTGTTGATTGATGAGGGGGAAAAAACAATTTAATCAATTTTAGAATAAGGCTGTAACGTAACAAAATGTGGAAAAAGTCAAGGGGTCTGAACACTTTCCGAATGCACTGTAGGCCCACTGAGACATCCAGGGAACAGAGGAGAGGTACTCTGCTGCAGAGAAACCCAGCCAAGGCCTGAAGCCCCTGGGGACAGGTCGAGATGGAGCTGCTGGAATCCCAGCGCTTACTCCCCCAGAGTGGTGGTAGAGCAGACAATAAACCTGAAGACAGTCAGTGCCACTATGCGTGTGCTGTTCTTGAAAAAGGTTTCAAAAGTTGTTGAATAAAATGGCAACAAACATCAATACATTGTTTAGCTGTAAAATCAGGCTGAGATTGACTTGTGTGGACTCACTCAGACAAAGATCAACATGCTGCATAATCCATCACCTTCCATCAGCCCTACCACCGTCCCTCCACCCCCAGACCAGATAAGAGCCTCACTGGCCACACTTGTTCAATTCTGCCACACCACATAAAATCAGCCATCAATTAAATGGCTGCTACTGGAGTCCGACCCCCCCCAATTACAGGGGGAAAGGAGACGGATGAACAACTAAGGGCATCTCTGCATTTTCTCTGCTAACCGACTGGCCGACAGGAAGAAGGATGATTGATTTCCATGCTGGGCTGTATTGTGTTTACCAGCAACTAACCTCAAATAAAACGAATACAATTTGGATGACTTAATCCCAAGCAAACATAAAACCTGACCCTTAGACCCTAATTTCCAAACCAATCCTATACCCTAATCCCTTGTAGACCTCAATTAACTCCAACAGTGTCACTCTAGATTTCCCAGAAAACAAGAAAGATAAAAGGAAGCTATAATTAAGCAATAAGGCCTGAGGGGGTTTGGTATATGGCCAATATACCACAGCTAAGGGCTGTTCATAGGCACCGTGGTATATTGGCCATAAACCACAAACCCCGAGGTGCCTTATTGCTATTATAAACTGGTTACCAACATAATTAGAGCAGTAAAAACACATGTTTTGTCATACCTGTGGTATACGGTCTGATATACCACGGCTGTCAGCCAAATCAGCATTCAAGTCTCGAACCACTCAGTTTAAAAATAAACATATAGACTGTGTAATGAAAACATTTAATATCGAAAATACTATAAAGAGGCTGTTGAACAAAACAACTTCCTAGTCTGTTGTGAGAGGGAGAGGAAATGAAAGGAATCACTCAGAAACAGAGAAGCAATGCTCTTGCTCTATGACAGGACCCTTGTCCTAATCCAACTTCTTAGCCTTCCACCCTGTCCACTTTTTAAACAGCCTTAACACTCAAAGAGATGCATTTGTTCTCAGTCAATATACTGTAGTAGAGCTATTCTCTTAATAATGAAAGAATGGAATGACTGGCACACTAAGTGCATTAAATCCCTCTCAAAACTGGTCTCTTGACATAGAAACCAATATCTGGCTCATGCATTCTAGCTGAGCTGAAATGGTGGTGAAATAGAGGCTCTCAGAGAAAGACACAGGGGAAACAGAAGGGACTCCTCTCCAGAATTATCTCTGTCGCCCCACAGTGTGGTTCTGCCACTTCAGCGTCAAGTGCAGATACTTACCGCTGAGGATCTCGCTGTTGCTCGCCCAAAAGTCTGCAGCTTTGGTTGGCCTGTTGTAGAACTCATCTCTGTTTGCAGCCAAAATTAGCCTGAGGGAAAAAAGAGTAAAAGAGAGGACTAGAGTTACGAGGGAGACCATGGTAGACCACTTAAGGTAATGTTCTTTAGCATCATAACCTAGTGGTGGTATCCATCTTGTCATATATATATATATATATATATATATATATATATATATATATATATATATATATATATATATATATATATATATATATATATATATATATATATATATATATATATATATATATATGCTTTGGGTCTCATCGCTTTAATCGAAGTGACTGAGCCCTGGGAGTGTCTGCTGCTGCCCAAATTGCACCCTATCTAGTGCACTACTTTATACCAGGGCCCATAGCACTCTGGTCAAAAGTAGTGCATTATAAAGGGAATAAGATGCCATTTGGGAAGCAGCCTGTGCTCATTTGCCAGGCTGCATTCTGCACCATTGAGTGAATAAAGGCGTCAGCATGCCGAACGAGTGTGGTCGCATACTCCCTTAAAAAGACTGTCGCTTGAAAAACTAGAAAAAAAGCGGACAAAACTCAACAAAAAAAAGTGTGCCCGAACAGCCGAAAAAACCCTCACCAAAGTCCAAAACGAACTAAAAAAAATACAAAATGTCATAACATATGCACTGAACTAATTCGGTTGGGAAGCACGCAAACGCCTTAAGTGTGAGAGAGAAATGCAGAGCTGTGCAGTGCTGTGCTGCAGACCTGACTGAGCTGAGCTCCTGACTGAGGTTGCACGTTCCCTATTTGTCTGTGTGTGCACTATTCCTCCCCTCAGGACAGGGCAAGGTTTCGCTTTGCACCCCGGGTCCCCATCAGCTGCAGCAGCAGGAGAAAGCTGATGTGCTAGAGCCCATGGGTACTGGTCAAAAGTAGTGCACTATATAGGGAAAGGGGTTTAAATTTGGGACGCATGCCATACCTCTGCCTTTCCATGTACCTTGATTACCTTACCGCAATAACATTACAACCCCTGCCGACTTTCTCCATTCAGCTTGGACTGCTGCACAGTGTGCATAGACAGATCACAAGAGATGGGCTTTTTCAGGCCCCACACCATTGCAAACATCACATCAAATCCATAATACAACAGCGAAAAAAAAAAAAAAAAAAAAAAACATTTTATCATCCTTCAATGTTCCAAAAGGGCCATGTCAGAGAGAGGCTGAGGCTACTAAAGGCCAGGGGAGGTGCTAGTATCAGATTGATCCAGAGCAGCGGACAGAGACAGAATAAATGTGCCGCTTTCTCCTGACAGCCCTCTAAAGCCAAATCACCTCCAATGGTAGCTCTCTTAACCAGACATCAGACTAACATTTCGACAAAGTTAATTATTACGACATGTCTGGCCACAGAATTCACTTCTCAAACAGACCAACGTTTGGACAATGATGTTAATGATTAGGCCAAGTCTTTGGCTAAAGAAATCCCTCCTCACATTCAGCCAGGATTGTAGACTATCCATGTGCATTTCTCACACAAAGGGGAGCAAGAATTACATGATACCCCACCCCTCCTCTCTCCCATATCAGCTATCTTACACACTCAGCTCAGCTGACCATTTCTCCATTCCATAGACTGGATAGACAGTAGCTCATTATGAGAATGAATTGGTCTTGAATTGATTGCCGACACCTGTGATTTGAGCAGTTAGAACTGGTGTTTTAACCCCCACTGCTATGCTGCTCGCCCCACACTGTCTCCAACAGAGAGAGCAAGATATTGAAGATGGGGAGGGGAAGGAATTGATGAGGATCCATAGGATCAGAAGAAAATACTCTTAAAAAAGAAGACCTGTCATACAGCACACATTGGAGGAAGGAGCTCAGTGAACAGGAACTGTTCCATAGACTAGACTATATGAAACAAAGACTGGTATGAGGCTCACAAGTTATCAGCATTTAACTGAAACCTAGGCCTTATACAGTGCCACCACCACCACCACCTACTGCAATTTTCTGTAGTTATCCCATAACAAATGGGCCTTAATGTGCCACTCACCACACTGACAGACTATCACTGTTGTAGCTAATGCTACATTTGACATTAATCTCTGGCGACTTTTTACTAGCTCTGCACAACTGTCACTTATTTAGCAAGGCAACAGTGCATGACTTAGTGACTTCACATTACTGTTCAGCTACTGTCCAATGAATCATCAGCTAGCCCAGCGCGCACACACACACACACCCGCCACCACCACACACACACGATTGTGGGGGTTTTCCTCCCAGTTTTCTGCCAGTTTGGCTGCCCTATACGAGTAGGCAGCTGAAGCTGTCATAGATCTGTGGCGTTGGGAGAGAGGTGGCCTCGCAGTGGGACCTTAGTAATTTGAGGTTTGTAGAAGTAGCCTAAATTGAATGTCACTGTGAACACCATTAAGTTCCCTGTGAAACTTAGTTGCTCTTTCTTGACTTCTTTTGTTCTGGCTCTAAGAGACAATTTTATTTTAGTCATTTTAGCAGACGCTCTTATCCAGAGCGACTTACAGGTGTAATTAGGGTTAAGTGTCTTGCTCAAGGGCACATCGACAGATTTTTCACCTAGTCGGCTCGGGGATTAGAACCAGCGACCTTTCGGTTACTGGCACAACGCTCTTAACCACTAAGCTACCTGCCGCCCCAATGTAGGGTCAATGTATTTATACAAAATGTGTGGGCCTATAATATAACCTACAGTTGTAACCAGGGCTCTAAATTAAAATGTATTTGGTAGCACTGGTGTTCTCAACTTTAAAAATGTAGGAGCACCAGATTTTTTTTTATTGATAGAGAGCCTTCAGAAAGTATTCATACCTAGGGCTGTTGTGGTGACTGTATTACCGTCACATCGGCAGTCATGAGTCATGACCGCAGTCAAATTCTCTTATGCACTCTGGACATTTGTTGGTAGTACCCAACTCGCTAATGACTGGCTAATGGCTCTATTGTCTCTCTAACTACTCTGACATCAATGCAAATGGAATCGAAAATTACATCAAACATCATCAAAACAGTATCATGCTTTTAAAACGAACAGTTAGGCTACACTTTTTGACCTCACTGTGATGATCAATTTAAAGACAGAAGTTCAACAACAGGTTGAAACTGGATGTTGTTTCAAAGCCAAACACAACGAAATGGACAGCGCTTTCTAAGGTGATGATTAATTCAAAGCATTAAAAATGATGCATGTGGAACACCCATACGCATATTAGAGCTTATGCATATATATATATATATATATATATATATATATATATATATATAAATAAATATAAAAAATTAAAAAAAAGCCTAAGCGCCACCCCCCCCCCCCCCCCCAAAAAAAAAAAAAACGGAATAGAAAAGTCATAATGATAGTGCCGTTATACAATACATAGCCTACTGCATATTATGCATGGCAGAAAAACAAAACAGATTTAAGATTGTCTTTGGTACATAATTGTTCTAGCCTATACTCCAAAATTAAACAAATTCTAGTAATCCTCTTTGAGTGTGGACTGTATTATTATGCATACTGGATGGACTGGTTACCTTATGCTACGCTCCAAACTTTCTGGGAGAGAACGTATAGGCCTAGGCAATCAAATCGAATTTGTCACATGCGCCGAATACAACAGGTGTAGACCTTACCGTGAAATGCTTACTTACAAGCCCTTCACCAACAACGCAGTTAAGAAAAATAAGAGTTAAGAACAAATATTTACGAAATAAACCAAAGTAAAAAATAAAAGAGCAACAATAACAAGGCTTTATACAGGGGGTACTGATACCGAGTCAATGTGTGGGGTACAGGTTAGTCGAGGTAATATGTACATATAGGTAGGGGTAAAGTGACTATGCATAGATAATAGATAATAAACAGCTAGTAGCAGCAGCGTAAAAAAAAATGGAGGGGGGGGGGGGGGGTCACTGCAAATAGTCCGGGTAGCTGTTCAGCAGTCTTATGGCTTGGGGGTAGAAGCTGTTCAGAAGCCTTTTGGACCTAGATTTGGCGCTCCGGTACCGCTTGCCGTGCGGTAGCAGAGACGGCCTTCCTCTGACACCGCCGTAAGGTCCTGGATGGCAGGAAAATTGACCCAGTGATGAACTTGGCTATACGCACTACCCTCTGTAGAGGCCGAGCAGTTGCCATACCAGGCGGTGATGCAACCAGTCAGGATGCTCTCGATGGTGCAGCTGTATAACTTTTTGAGGATCTGAGGACCCATGCCAAATCTTTTCAGTCTCCTGAGGGGGAATAGGTGTTGTCGTGCCCTCTTCACGACTGTCTTGGTGTGTTTGGACCATGATAGTTTGTTGGTGATGTGGACTCCAAGGAACTTGAAGCTCTCAACATGCTCCACTACAGCCCTGTCGATGAGAACGGGGGCGTGCTCGGCCCTCCTTTTCCTGTAGTCCACGATCTCTCCCTTGTCTTGATCACGATGAGGGAGAGGTTGTGGCCCTGGCACCACACTGCCAGGTCTCTGACCTCCTCCCTATAGGCTGTCTCATCGTTGTCGGTGATCAAGCCTACCACCGTCGTGTAATCTGCAAACTTAATGATGGTGTTGGAGTCGTGCCTGGCCATGCAGTCTTGGGTGAACAGGTAGTACAGGAGGGGACTAAGCACGCACCCCTGAGGGGCCCCCGTGTTGAGGATCAGCGTGGCAGATGTGTTGTTGCCTACCCTTACCACCTGGGGGAAGCCAGTCAGGAAGTCCAGGATCCAGTTGCAGAGGGAGGTGTTCAGTCCCAGGGTCCTTAGCTTAGTGATGAGCTTGGAGGGCACTATGGTGTTGAACACTGAGCTGTAGTCAATGAACAGCATTCCCACGTAGGTGTTCCTTTTGTCCAGGTGGGAAAGGGCAGTGTGGAGTGCAATAGAGATTGTGTCATCAGTGGATCTGTTGGAGCGGTATGCAAATTGGAGGGCGTCTAGGGTTTCTGGGATGATGGTGTTGATATGAGCCATGACCAGCCTTTCAAAGCACTTCATGGCTACAGACGTGATGCTGTTGGTTCAGTTATTGTGCAGGGCAGCTTACAGAGTTAGCCTACAATTATAGAGAACTTGTATTTGATTTTAAATAGCC